CTTTCACTTTTTTTTTATTATTTTCAAATTCTTTTTTTATCTTCTCATAGTTTTACTTATGGAGGTCTTTTTAACTTCTTTGGTTAGATTTATCCTTAAGTATCTTATACTTTTTGTGGCTATAATAAATGTAATTAATTTTTTTAGTTCTATATCAAATCTGAGTCTGCCTGTTATTCGTATATAGAAATGCTATCAACTTCTGTATATTGATTTTATATCCTGTAACTTTACTGTATTCATGTATTACTTCCAGTAATTTGTCCATGGAGACCGTTGGGTCTTCTATGTATACAATCATGTCATCTGCAAATAAAGAGAGTTTCACCTCTTCGCTTCCTTTTCGAATGCCCTTTATTTTTTCCTCTTTTCTGATTGTGTTGGCGAGGACTTCCAGTACTATATTAAAAAGGAGTGGAGACAGTGGCATCCTTGTCTTGTTCCTGTGTTTAGTGGGAAAGCTTTCAGCTTTTTTCCCTTGAGGATGATGTTCGCTATGGGTTTTTTATAGATAGCTTTTATTGTGTTGAGAAATGACCCTTCTATGCCAATTTTGCTGAGAGTCTTGATCATGAAGGGATGTTGTATCTTATCAAGTGCTTTTTCTGCATCAATTGATATGACCGTATGGTTTTTATCTTTCTTCCTATTAATACGGTGTATTACTTTTATCTATATTAACTGTCCTTTATTTAAAGTTCTAAACTCTATTTTTCAGTTCTCTGATATGAAGAAACTTTCCAATAACACACGTACATAGCAGAGGAAATCCCATAGTTACACTGTGAAAAGTGACATAACAACATATCCTACTTTAAAAATCTAGTTACTGGGACCAGCAGTTAGCATAATGGCTATGTCGCTGGACTCCCATGTAGTTGACCGCTGATCGAGTCCCGGACCTTGTGGCTTAAAACTCACACCGGGCATGTGTGCCTGCGTGCTCAAGATCCCAAGAGGAGAATGGAGGAGAAAGGATTGCGGGATGGCCATCCCCCCTGGGGGGTGATTTCTCGCTTTCTGTCTTTCTGTCTCTGTCTTGTCTGGTGAGCGCAAGCACCCTATGATAAAAACCTCTCCAAAAAAAAAAAATCTAGTTACTTATACTAGTTACTAAAATCTACTGGTTGTCTAAATCAGCATAATATTAAGCACAATACAAATTAGAGATAGCTCAGCTTCTTCTATGCCATTAATTACCCATTTTTTTCCTTTTCCTTTTTTTCTTTTTTTTTACCTACCACTACTGTGTGGTCAGAAGTTACATAAAATGGACATCATATTCCTTATTCTTAAAAATCTCTTCTTTAAATAGGTTATCACTAACAAGACACAGCTGGAGTTACTGCAAGCATTGAGTGAAGACTGAGGGGCTAATAAAAAGAAATGATTCACGCCTCATTTATGTTCACTTATGTTTTACATTAATAGAAACCAATAATAGGAACCAGTTACCATAAAAGTCATGGACCGTAAATAACACAAATGGCAAATAAGTATCATCTAGTACTTTTCACAGCTGGACAGGAGGATTGCTATATTTGAAAGTAGTTAATGGATTTTTATTAGAACTTTACTTTTAAAGATACAGTAACATGATTCCAAGTCCACTATTAAGTAATCAAATCTTTTTTGTTGTTGTTGTTTTTATAGGTTATTATTCTCTACCTTTGACAAATTCTATGATTTAAAAATATTAATAGAGACAGCCAATGGTGTGGCAGTTAAGGTGGCAAGATCTCACATGGATGACTACGTGGTTCAAGTCCTGGAACCATGGCTTGAAAAACACATTGAAAATACATTTACATATGTGTGTGTGTGTGAGTGTGTGTGTGTGTGTGTGTGTGTGTGTGTTACCATACATAAAATGGTATGGAGAAGGGAAGTCATGTAAGAAATAAAAATGGTTGTATTGAGAAAATGTAGTACTGGAGATGAAAAGAGGATACAAACAACTGTACAAGACACCATTATCATCAAAGTATAGCAAAAGCAAAATAGGAGAGCAAACAAGAAAATATGGTGAAATACCTATAAAATAGTATTAAATGGGAGCTGGGAGGTGGTACAGGGAATAAAGGCGCTGGACTCCCACATGACTGACCACAGTTTGAATCCCGGACTTGGCGGCTTGCTTTTGCCCTTTCCCTTTCTCTCTTTCTCTGTCTGGGCAAATTAAAGAATAATAAATTAAATTAATAATTCTTTTAAAATATAGTATTAAATGTTTAATATTGTGACTATTGTTCAGGATGATAGCTAGGTTTGGGTGAACCCCAGGGCTGTTTCCAGCTCAAAAATATTTGCATACTCTTGTTTAGTTCATACCATGTAATTTCATGTTTCCTAAAAATTCACATGCATAATGACTATGAATTACACGTAGCACCAATAGCTCGGTAAATACAGCATGCAATATGGATTAATACAATTCAAACACACAATGTTATATCTGCTACCTTAACAAACATTGAGCACTTAGTACATGCAATACATTGAATACTTTATATGCGTGCAATGGAAATGCTACTGTTATTATTTTCTTTATAAAATAATTCACAAATTTAATTTCTCACTCTATTGATGCTATGTAATACATTACTTTCACTTATAGAAATATACAATAATGTGCATAATTCAAAATTGTAAACATTCAGTAATCACGTGACTGATTGTACAGTTTGAATCCTGAACCAGGGGCTTCGGGAACACACTGGGTGTGTGCGTGTGTGTACCCAGAATCCCAAGTGGAGAATGGAGGAGGAGGATTTGTGGCATGGTCATCCTCCTTGCCCAGGAGTGCTTCCTTACTTTCTCTCTTTCTGTCTCTCACTCTTTCTCTCTCTTTCACTCTAGCCAATGTAAGAGTCCTACGGTAAAATTAAAAGAAAATTCAGTTATCATAATATAAAATTAATTTTATCTTTTTATGTAAAATGATGTTAAGTGTTTCACTAAAATATTAGCATAACTATTATTTAAGAAGGAATAATAAAATAATTCTTCAAAGATATGACCCCAATCAAATTGAAATTTTTCCACGATCTGTCTTCTGTCCCTTTGTTCAACTCCACACTGCTTGTCCCTCCATTTCAGAAAAAGGAATGATTATGATGATCTTTCTTCTTTTTTTTTAAGAATTATTTTACTTAACTTCATTTATTTATTTATTTTAATTTGACCAGAGATGGACAGAGAGAGAGAGAGAGAAAGTGAGAAAGCAAGCCACCAGGGCTGGGACTCAAACCATGGTCAGCTACATAGAAGTCCAGCACCCTTAACCACCATGCCACCTGTTGGCCCTGTCATTTTCTACTTCTTATTAGGATGAGTAAATTAATTTAAAGGTAGTTAAGAATAAGAATACTATTATAAATAAAATTTGATAGGAAATAAATCAGGGATGAGGACAAAGAGAAATTAGTCTGAAGGGTAAGTGACTTTATAGATTTTTTTCTATTTTTAAAAGAATTATTTATTCATTCATTTATTTTAATTTGATTAGAGAGAGACACACAAAGAGAGAGTAAGTGAGAAAGCAAGCCATCAGGTCCAGGATTTGAACCATGGTCAGCTATGTGGGAGTATTCAATGCCTTAACCACCATGCCACCTACTGGCCTCAAGATTTTTCTATTATTTCTACAGTTCCTCCTATAATACAGTATAAACCATTAGTTAACATTTTTAATGATCAACTATTAGTTTTGAAAGAGCTAAAACAATACAAGTCAAAGAAATTAAGGATACAAGTATAGAGAATCGAAACAAAACATATCACAAATAACTACAATAAAGCAAAAAAAAATTTTTTTAGGTTTTTGCCTAGATACATGTGCTCTCCAGAGAGAGAGAGAGATACAGAGACAGTGAGAGAGAAAGTGAGAAATCATCCCCCAAGGAGTGACCACAATAAAATCCCCTCTCCTCCATTCTGGGATCATGGGCGATATGCACATGCACCCAGCATAAGTTTTGAGCCACTGTGTCCAGGACATGAACCACAGTTGTCCATGTGGGAGTCCAGCAACATCCTGCTACACCATCTGCTGATCCCAAAGTGGGAAACTTTTTAATGGCAAAGAATGCTGGACTGTCTCATTACAAGGCTGATTGAATGATCAATGTTATGGAAGGTATGAAAGCCCCCAATGTTACATGTCTTCTAGCATATGATACCCTTGTGTAATTTCTCACTCTTAAGTGGATAATGAATTTACTCATTTATAACAAATGGAATATAGCAGAAGCGATAGGATGTTACTTCTGGTATTGTTCTTAAAAGTCTGTGGCTTTAGGAGTGATAACTTTATCTTATTCTCCCTAGGATCTTTCATTCTGGGGGAAGCCAGCTGCCATGTTGTAAGGCACCTCTGTGGAGAAGCCAATGTGAGAAGAGGCTAAGACATGACAATAACCAACCATTGAGTGAGGGAACCAACTATTGATAAGAGGATCTCATTGTTTTCCTATTCATACACTCTAGTAGAGCCTTCCCATGGGATCAGAGCCCTGGTTAACATCTTGACTCTAATTTTATGAGAGAATTTGAATCAGAGAAAACTGACTGTATTAACAATATACAGAAATAACAACTGTATATTGGTTTAAGCCACTAGGTTTTGGAGTAATTTATCATACAGCAATAGATATACAGGAGTTAGCTTATGTAGGGAGAAAATGGCCAGGAGTTCTGGGAGTCTAACTGTATAAGCCAAATCTAACTCAATTCCACACTGACACTCTGTAATGGCAGCTTCTTTCTGCAGTTTAAATATTGATGGAGATGATAGACTGTTGTTCTTTGTGACTTTTAAGACAGTGACAATCATCACCCACTCCATTCTACTTTTTAGCTTCAGGAAATTATATGCCAATCCTGCCTTATTACAATTCCCTTAGAGAGAAGAGAGAATAATCCTGGTCTTTGCTATGAATCTTGCATTGTTTGCGGCCATTTCTAACTCTTGAACATACACTTTTTAAAATATTCAAATTCAAATTATGTTTAAAATGGTACATATTATATAGATCATCTAAATTTTAGGTAACAATCCATATTTTAACTTCACAGTCAATATAACAATATTTGATATACCTAAGAAGCATTTGCTTACTTCACTGGCAAATATCTGAAAGCAATTTATACATGTTATTTAAAATTACATGTTGTTAAACATTTTTTTAAAAAAAGGCTCCTCTCATCACAAAGACAAAATGAAAAAAATTTTTTTAAAAAAATATAGTAAGTCACTATCAACAGAGTAAAAAAAAGCAACCTATAAAATGGGAGAAAATATTTACAAATTATATATACCTCATAAGGTATTAATATCCAGCATACAGAAATAACTTAAAATTCAACAATGAAACAACATAATTCAAAAAAAGGCAAGGAACTGGAATAGACATTTCACCAAGGAACATATATGAATGGACAAAAAGCCTATAAAAAGATGCTCAACATCACTAACCATTAGGGAAATGCAAATCAAAACTCCCTCACACTAAGTAGAATGGCTATTATATTTTAAACAAACAAAGAAACAACAGAAAGTATAAGTGTTGGTGGAAAATTGGAATCCTTATTCACTATTTATGGGAAAGGAACATGGGAAATTGTATAGTCCCTATGGGAAACAGTATAACAGTTCCTCAAAAACTTTTAAAAAATAGAATTATCATACACTCTGGCAATTCTGTTTAAGAGTACGTATGCAAAAGAAATAAAAGCAGAGCCTCAAAGTGGTATTTGTACATTCATGTTTGCAGCAGCATTATTCACAATAATGTGGAATATAATATTCACAATAATGAGGAAGTCACCAATGATGGTTGGATGGATAAGTAAATGTGGTATGTACAACAATGGGATAATATTTGGCCTTTAAAAAGAAGGAAATTCTGACATATGTTACAATATGGATACATCTTAAGGACATTATAAGTGAAATAAGCTATATAAGGGCATGGGAAAAGGAGAATGAAGAGTTCTTTACTGGATAGAGTTTCAGTTTTGCAACACGGAAAATAAGTCTTGAGATGAATGGTGATAATAGTTACACAGTATGAATACATATAATACCGCTGAACTGTACACTTAAAAATGCTTACGCTTGTAAAATTCACGTTATGTGTATTTTATCACAATATTAAAATTGGAAAAAAATAGAAGGAATAAAATTAAAGACAGAATTCTTATAGGACAAAGTAATACCTGGCATTGTTTCCTAGTAATAGGTGGCAGAATTTCACAATGAGGAAAAGAACGGGCTCTTGTACACTCTAGCCAGTTGGTAAGGCTTTCAGAGTTCTGCTTTACTTCAGCACTTCGGTGTATTAAAGGCTTTGCCTTCCGTAACCGCAACTCCCACGGATCAGGCTCTTTTCTAAATGGTGAATTGTATATGCCCGGAATCTAAAGAAGAAGAAAGCAACTTTTATTTTTATCTTTAATTTTAATGTAAAATAAAAGAAAAATAAAGTTATATCATAGAATTTTTCATATAGTTACAGAACATTTTAACAGAAATTCTGGCTTTTAACCAGAGATGGACTTTGGATTCATGTAAGGAGATTTTACAAAATACACTATTTCATTTCTACTCAAGACCAACAATCTCAGCATCTTTCAAGACTGAACACTAAACACATTATGAAGTACTGATCTTTAGTTTCTATTTCCCACAAGGTATTTTTATATAATTGTTCCTAAGAAAAACAATAACACAAATACTTTAAGTCATCTATTTTGTATTCTGACCATAACTATGTATATTTAACCAAATCCTTTGGGTTTTTGGGAAGTCATGACTCATTTTTGTATAGAAAAGTATATCATGACTTGACCAACAACCTAATGTAAGTCATATGATCACTTACAAGAAGTCAAACAGACTATACTCAACAAATAATTTATTATTTAAATTATTATTCATTATAACTCTGATGACAACTACTTTAGAGATCTGTACTTTAATAATCAAATGAGTATCACATATAAGCTCTATTAAGTATTACTAAAATAACATCCTGTATTTAATAAGTAGTATTCCTGTGGTTAGGAGCTATACTTGAGAGTCACATTACTCTTGCAGTTCTGTCATTGACTTTATCATGCACTGTATCAAAATAGTTATGACGTACTTAGCATGGAGCCTGACGCACAAAAAAGGTTCAATAGATATATTTATGACAAATGTTAAATTCAAGTTTAGCAGACCATTTTCTGGAAATCTAATGTTGTTTGAGTATACAAATAGTATAGGACCATATTTTGATGGTGTTTGATGTATGGTTCCACAGAAGCACATATCAAAATATTTACATACATATATGTGTGTATATATACATATAAAACATACAACTGCATATTCATAAGAAAAAGTTACATTGTAAAGACAATATGATTTGTTTCACTTTTCTGTGCATACACTGGACTATGTAAGAACATATCCATTAAATTAATCTGTTCTGGGACCAGCAGTTAGCATAATGGCTATGTCGCTGGACTCCCATGTAGTCGACCGTGGTTCGAGTCCCGGACCCGCTGGCTTAAACTCACGCAGGGCGCGTGTGCATGCGTGCCCAAGATCTCAAGAGGAGAATGGAGGAGAAGGGATTGTGGCGTGGCCAATCCCCCTGGGGGGTGATTTCTCACTTTCTTTCTCTCTGTCTTTCTCTGTCTGTCTGGTGAGTGCACACACCCTATAGCAAAAACCTCTCAAAAAAAAGAAAAAAATTAATCTGTTCTAAGAACATGCTTTTCTCTTATCATATACATAAATATTCCTATTTGTTATATTTACCTCATGGCATCAGCAGTTAGAAAATATTAACTAGAATATCTGTGTTTAATTTTTTTTTTAATTTATATTTACAGGGGTCAGCAGGTAGCATGGGGATTAAGGCATAGCTGACTGCAGTTCGATCCTGGACCTGGTGGCTTACTTTTTCACTTTCCCCTCTGTTTATCTCTCTCTCTGTTCACTGAGTGCATATACCCTATAGCAAACTTAATAATAATATGAAGGACAAAAAAACTGACTTAAATAAATAATTATTAAAAATTATACTATAAGCATAATTCATTATTAAGTATCAACCTCTATCAAATACTTTCTCAGGTTGAATTCAGTGTCCTATACTAAAGGCTTAATAGCCTAGAGTTGTCTACCACAACACCTATCATATAATTTCATAGATATCTTTGTGTGCATCAGTCTTCCACATGCAACCAATGCAAGTACAAGGACTGTTTCAGGTACTGCTGCAATGTCAGGGCCTAGCAGAATACTAGGCACACAGTAAATGTTCAATAAATGAATGCAAAATGCTCACCTAGAATAACAATGCACAGTTCAAAAGGTCCACGAAAACCTTTATTTTAATCTTGTCTTCCAAAGGCAAACATACTATTTTAGTACAAACTTTGAGGTTTATTTCAAAATCTTATTGACTACTTTCAAATAACTCATAGATTATACCTTTTTCCTTTCTTAACACGTCACTTTCGATTTGCTTTTAAACACACTGTGATCTAGAAGTAAGTTATCACAGAACTATTTGACTCCGCCCCAGCTCAGCTTTGACTGTTCTACAATTGAGAACTAAATTTTATTGGATATAAAAGGTTAATGTAAATATATCAACATATTTTCAAAAGTATTTTAAAACTGGCTCTTCTTTCAAATGTATTCCTTATTACAATTGATACAAGAAAAATTATGTGCTGAAAACATTAAAGACAGTTATATAAGCCATTTTGAATGTCATGTTAACATTCTCTTGCTGTAACAGTAAATATATACAAAGTAGCTACCTGGATAGTTTAAATAAATATCAATACACGATAATATGTACGCATATTCACAATAGCTTTCAGTGAATAGTAATTTTTTAGTGGATCATAATTTTTAATATGATTTTTAGGGTGAATTTCTAAGTTGGAAATGTATCAACTATAATGGAGAAAAATAATAAATGTTATGCAATGTTTAAAGACGATTCTTACACAAAATATGACTAAATCTATATAATCTGTGAAAGAGATTTAAGAGAATATCATTCTGATGAGTAATGACCTAATCAACTGATGTCTGTTAGTTTATTACCAAAATTTCTACAACCTTACAGATTAAAACAGTAAAATACCATTTTAGCTAGATTATAATTTATCATTTAAAAATACCTATCTACCTGAATAACTGCCACCAGCTATTAACTTTGCCCCATTAGGAATCTTCTTTGATCTTCCACATTTGCATGCACGTGTATACATAGCCTAGATGGGAAATGCAAATAGATCGGTAGACATGATAGCTTTCTTAAATTATATTTTGCAACCTATATGGAGACCTCCTCATGTGTATTCTCTTTGCAATTTAAATCAAATATAGATAGAAAATATATTTTAATTGAATTTCAAATGTATCATTTAAAGTCTTCAAGGTGTCGGTATTTTAGCAATTAATTTAATACATTTGCTAACTTAGGTCAATAAAAACAGTTCAGTGCTCTCTCAAACCCTACAGCAAGATAACATTCTATTTATTTATATTAATAGAGTAGTATTCATTTACTTATTATTTCTTTAAGTAAATAAAACAACCGTGACTTACTATTGTCTTGACTGTCATATTTCAAAATTTGTATCAATAACAATTTATTGTTGATTTTTAAAAATATTACTATGAGTCACAAAAGATAGAGTTAACCCTGAGGGACTATGACATATTTTTTAGTTTTCACATTTTTCACAACTTAGAAGGGCTACTGCCAAGCTAGCTTTTGGGACTTCATTTTCAGCAATAATTTTTTAGAGTGACCAACACTATGGGGAAATCTGTGCTAACTGTTAAAAAAAAAAAAGAGAGAGAGAGAGAAGCCTACAACTGAGTTATTTGCAGTACTGTCATGCTAACATTCAACTCAATAAGACCCAAGAAATCTCAGGAGAGGACTCTGCTAATAGCTTCTAACTGACCTCCTTGCATCGGCCCGGCTGCTGACTGGTGGCCCAGTGGTGAATACGGCAAATGAGGTGTGAAAGCACTGATTTTTTAAAGGCTATGATTCTGACTCGTCAAAAGGGGGAAAAAAAGGCAATGAGTTATATAATAGATATATATTTTTCTTGAATTCCCCCCTTCAGACCTTCCATCATGGGAACTTAAGCATGACCCAGAATATTAATTATGTCGGGTTGAGCAACGAGCAAATGTACCATTTGTTACCCAGTCACCCTTAGCATTACATTAATATTTTGAACCATTCCACATTCCTAATAATCTATCGGTTGGGTCTTTTCTTCTCAGTTTTCATTCTTATACTTAAGCATTGTATAACAAAGTATTTTAAAAGTGCAATTGATTTGAAAACATATGAATACCCCTGTTATATTTGGACCATCTACTGTTTTATTTCATAAAGACTATTTTTTTTTATGACCACTTTCCACTCATACACTGACCTTTATTTTGTAAGTGCCAGGGGGGAAGCTATAGTCTAATTTTTTTTTCTTCTCTCTGTTATTGACATTTACTTTTAAGAGAAAGTTTCTGTAAAATAGGAAGGATATGAAACAGAAATGTGTGCACCTTACAATTCCCCAGTCACAATTACTAATGATTCAGTATATTTTAGCATATGGGAAATAATAAGTTCCCATGATTTCAAAAGTAACTGCTTATTCAAGAGATGAAGAACAATTAAGTAAACGGGGTAGCTGGGAGAATTCAAGTTTTACTTTTGCAAATGACAATTACACAACAAACAGGAGCCACTGATTGCCACAAAATTTAAAACTATTTTCTTGCTTCTTGATTTAAAATGTGTGAACACACTGAGAGAAACGGTTTTAAAAGGAGGCCTGTCTAAAATGCATTTGGTTTCTACATTTTAATCAAATATACTTTCAAAAAGCAAGACACTAAGCTAGTACCAAGGAGGAATGAAGATCTCTAATAACTAGAAAAGTAAAAGTGGACCAGAGAACTGTGAATGAAATATTTGCTAGGGTAGGGACTGCTGAATCAACACTGACCAATGCACTTCATCATAATTATCAGGACATACTAGTGCCAGGGGATTTATAAAAATCCCACTCAGCAAATAATTGCCCTGCTGTTAGGAGATAGTCAGAGTGTTAACACACTGTCACAGTCCAGCGTTTAGTAAAGATATTCTACATTCAATTACTCTTGCTGAGAACTAAAAGGAAACATGGTCATTTCTCAACTACAGCAGTTATGCTTCTACATGCATTTCAGACAATAGTCATGTAACCCTCAGATATAGTACCCCACAAGGAAGAAGAATTTTATGGAAACATTAGAATTCACAAAGAATACATTCAGTATAGAATTTATCTATATAAAGCAAGATTTTTTTTAAATCTATTACAAATGGCAGATGCTT